TCTATTTTAATCAAATTTCATAAAATAACATATAATTACTTACTTTATTATACTTTTTAGGGTTCCGTACCTCATAGGAAAAAAACGGAACCCTTAAAGAATCACTTTGTTGTCCTCCGTCTGTCTGTCATGACCCTTTTTCTCAAAAACGCGTGGAGGTATCAAGCTGGAATTTATGTAATTCACTACGTATCTTTAAAATGGGTTAATGAAAAAAAATATGCGCAAAATAATAGTAAACCTTAACCAGATGAATGGATGTTTGATAGATACATCTCCAGAACGGCTGCATGGATGTCGCTGAAATTTGACATAGATGTAACCATAGTATGGAAGAACATATAGGCAACTAATTAAGTTTTTTAATTCTGCGCGGACAGAGTCGCGGGCGACAGTTAGTATGGTTTATATTATCGTTATAATCATCATCAGCTTCAGTTACTGCTGTAGATGACATTCTCCAATGCATTTTACCGTACTCGGCACTGTGCTTTTTGCATCAGATCTCAACTCAATTGAAGTCGAATATTCCGCACTCAAAGTTATTAAGTAGTCTCACTTAGTACATATTTAAGAAATTGATATGAGATATTACACTACGCGGAAGTCCCTTAGTAGATAATTACCAACTCCGATAGTTAAAGTATTTTTTCGCGTTGTTCACAAAACGACAATTAATCGTAAGATTTTAATCGCGGTACTAGGAAATGAATATAAATGTCCTATAGTCATGATTGCGAGAAATAACGTTATAATGGGTTAATAGAGAATAAGTATAAACGTTTTATTTACTACATAAATCGGTTTAGAAGAATTTAAATGTTTCATCTTACTGTTATAAATGCGAAAGTTTAGATTGATGCATGGATGTTTGTTAGAAGGTACCTCCAGAACGGTTGAACGGATCTGGCTGAAATTTGGCATAGATATAGAACATAGTCTGGACGAACGCATAGACACCTAATTGAGTTTTTTTTTATTCCCCGTGGACGAAGTTGCGGGTGACACCTATTAACCTATATCTCAATCTACAAATTTTAAAATAGTAAAAAATTTACCTCACGATGTCTCCTCTTTTTCTTTCATTCAAAGTAATGATTATGTAAATTTAAGAAGAAAGAATATTTTTAATAACCGCTTATATACATGAGATGTTCTCTAACACCATATTAATCTGATTTAGACCGTTCGCGTTGCATAACTTCGTGTTGGCGCTTTCAACACGCAGACAATAAAAAATATCGAACTAAAACTATGTCAAGGTCTCAACTTAAAGCTAAAAACAAATGCATGTCAATGATGCGCAAAATGTAGCATAAATAAACGATATGTATTGTAAAATACTATATTGGCATGTACTACGTGTTAGATGAATCATATCGCAATGGAATTGGTAGAACCATCTGCTGTTTAATCATACCATTGTTCTAGTAATGAGTAATTGGAGTTCTTTGTTAGGGTTCGTCTACTATTAACGTTTTTATAGCTTGTTATGAATGTTAATAGGAGTTATAAATATATTTTAATATTTGACATTTAGCATCGAAAATGAACCGGAGTACATGAAAATACTTTACGATATATAAGATAGGTTACGAGAAACTTGGACGCGGACGAGAACGAAAGTGTGCAGGAACAGAGAGGTTTAGTGGGTATGCCTCCGCTATGGAGGAGAATCCCACATAACTACCGCGTCCCCCCCGGGGGGCGGAGTACGCATAAAGCATTCCTCTCTCAAAAAAAAGTTACGAGAAACTTCTAGTAATTACGTTAAAAGAATAATACTAATATGTATTGAGTAATATTATTTAGACTTAAAAGGTCTTTTGTATTGTTAAACAATCAAATTAAGTATTTTGGTCTCACGATGTCAAAGCCTCGTAATAAACCTTAAAACCTTTTTTGTATGTAAATATTTTGACAATTCTTTCTTGTTACTTTTAAATGTTTGTTGCCTTATTTGTTACAATAAGTTGTTATAACAATAAATAACAATCTATTTTAGTAATTTTAAATGAAAGTAAAATGTAAAGTAAGAACAAAAGCCGTGCACTGTCATAGCCCTTTTGATATCCGCTTTATTGCATATGCATGAGAAAAGTTCGTTAGGTCAATGTTAAAAAATAAACAAGAACTAGTAACTTGCCTGAGGTTTCACATGTATGCGTATATTATTTTCCAGACTATAAATTAATGTACATTGATTCTCCGAATAACGCTATAAATGGGAAAACAATTTGGAAATATTTAATCGACAGTTTTAAATCGTTCCTCTATATATGCCGGAAAAGTTTTGTCTACAATATTTCTAACCGTGGGTTTCTAGAACCAAAATAATCGTTAAAAACATATTGTTATTTCTGTTAAATCAAGGTAATTTATAGGGGTAAAGGTATGTTTTATGCAAAGATTTTTGTCTCGGAAACCAACGTTAAAGAGACAACATTTTTTTATCTATTTTGTCAAGAAAAAACTGGTTTTGTAAAACTGGTATGTGTTCAGTAAAACCAAGGCGTTCTATGTAATCCATTAAATATCATTCAGATGGAAAAAATAGGTTATTTTTATATATATTCCTAATTCTTTTAATCATGGCATACTCTCTTGATTACTAAATTAGAATGATTATATAAGTTGTTTGTAAGTGAAGCTCACTAAGTTTTCATGTTGTAATAAAGTCTTTGTCGAAATTATTCAAATTAACTAATTCACTTGAACCGGTTTGAAGTTTGAACTAGATATAACTTGCAAAAATAATCTCAACCTCTACGGTTATGTTACTTGTACTAAATACATATAATTAATTCAATACGCGAGTTTTTATGTTATAACATTACTATCTTACTAATGTTAGGAAGAAAATCCGACACTGTGCCGGTGTACTAGCACAACACTAGCCTTACTAAAATGTCGACATCTATGTTCCCTCACTTATCATTCTGACACTTGACTTTGCAATGAAAGCGCGCCATTCGCCCCAAAGGATTAATAATGTCTAAAACTAATATTGTAAATTTGAATGTTTTAATGTATCGACGAATGTTTGTTAGAAGGAATCTCCAAAACGGCTTTGTGGATGTCAATTAAATTTGGTATAGATGTAGAATGTAGTCTGGAAGAATACACATAGGCTACCTATGATGTCGGAAATTCGTACGGTTCCCATGGGACACGTTTGATTTGTATATTTACTACATAACTCTGTAACGGTTCAAAACATTGATTGTTCACCTATTTTTAATTCGTCGCAGACAAAGTCGAGGGCTAAGGCTAGTTATTAATAATGTTGTTATTTTTAGTACTCTTTATTAAAATTGCCGATAAATTATATTGTCAAGAATTTCAACATAAAAATAATATAAAAAAATTAAAAATACATATGTGCTATGCCAGTAATTATGGTATAAAGTAATTAAATAAATAGAACTGGCTGAATCCATCCAATGTGGCTCTAAATTAATTAAAATCGTAACAACAATGTAAGCAATAATCAATAAAAAAACCATAGCCGTCAAGAAATCAAATGGCGTGTCGGACCGGAAGAACATAATTAGTGTTTTTCAAAACTTAAAGTAATTACATAAATAGTATTAAGATCATTGAGTCACGCTACAAGTAACCGAAATTACTTTTTTTGTGCAAGAAGTTTGCTTTTTTATTGAAAAATCTTTCAAATTTCGATATTACGAGTTACTTAACTGTTATAAAGTGAACAATGAATACTTCTTTAGTGTTAAGAAAAAAACTTGAGCTATGTGGAAATATCTATCAATTGTTGATGATTTATATAAGTATTGATAAGTTTTTGGCGATCAAAACGCGTATCTATAAATATATTGCTATAATTAAAACGAAGAAAAAAAAAGTTCATGGTTTTTTTTATATCATTAGGTGGCAAACGAGCGAGCGGCCACCTGAAATCGCTGAAATAGCGAAGTGACCGTTGCCTGCATGTCTATGGGCAACGGTCACTTTGCTATGCAATTGCGTATGTCTATACGCAATTGCATTTGCGTTGCCTACCTTGATTCGACGGAGGACAGGATGCACAGAAACAAAATGTTTTCCCTTTCCATGCATCCTCTCATCCGGAAAGTCCATTTCCACTTCCCATGGTTGGTCCCAGGTTGTCTTGACTTTTGGTTTCTTTAAAGATAGCAGTAAAAACATAGATGACATGAGTTTGGACAAAGATTGTATGTACTGCATTGAGTGCATTGAATGAGTTTATGAACCTTTAAATCACAGATATACAATTCTTAACCTTGGATGATTAATAGTGATGTAACATTTAAGTTGGGTTTTCATCCAAAGACCAAAACTCAGGAATATTCTTCATATTCATTGGAATTATTCATGTTATAAAAGTACCTATTTCGAGAATAATTTTCTACAAAACTGAATCTAGCAACACAGAATTTGCATTTTAAATATACGTTAAATGAATATGGTAATATCAACTGCATTTTGACCTTAAAAGTTACACAATAATAATTAGAAATGGTAGGCATTGTAGATATGTTAAGTAAAATATAAACGCGGTATGGAAAAATAAAGAGGTCAATGAGTTTAAGAAGCGAGAGGTGTATCAGGCTCCCGTCAAATTGAAGTCTGTGGTCCCTGTTTACCTCTCTGGGTTATGGTCGTGAGTTATGTTGCTGTTATGAGTTCAAACTTGCTTTTGTTTATCTATTGTTCTCTAGATTGTTATGATTGATCTCATTTTGATATGAGTGTTTATCAAACAATTATGCCAAACATCAAGACCGTTTGGTGCGACCTCACTTTACTATGTTGCCAAATGTTTTACCTACTTATGCAACTTATATGTTGCGTTACATACAATAAAAGTATGCTCGAGAAGATTTAATATTTCTTGAGATCAAACATCGATAAACGAAAAAAAAAATTGCAATAAATTTTTGTTACTTTACCCACACAATATTTTATTACAACCTCGTTTTTCAAAAAATTATTTAAAAAATAAAAGGAGTACTCACGCTCAGGTGTGACCTCACGTAAAACGATTCTGGTCTGTGGTTCCTGTTGGGCCGGCATTGTGCCTAAGGGACTAAGGGTTCACTTTATGTTATTGAACTTTGCAAAGAAGCACACGTAAAACTTGAATAAAATATCTGCACTTAGTGTACTGTGATCAATTATATATCAAACAAAGAAGGATTTTTAATTACAGTTTATCTCATATTTAGCGCAAAAATGGTTTGTTTTTGTTTAAAACGAGCCGACGTCCTCCCCCTACGAAAGATCGCGTAAGACTGACTCACGCTCACGAGCGAGCTCACTCGACTGACGAAGTCACGACTCAGACACAAAGTCGCAGATCGCAGTCCGCAATACCAATGCAACACCTATGTAATATAAGGAATTGAGATGGAGAAGCGTGCAATGCGATGCGCAGGGTTCCCCAAGTTCTGACATAGTGCATGGTCTTGTTTTTAGATAAGCGTGAAACTCAGTAAATTATTTATTTATATTTATCTTTGTAATGAAAATATCTGTCTCGTCCAAAGCAGGACGTATGGTCATGTTAATCATGCTGCAATTCATATTTATAAACGCATACTGACTTAAAAGTTTACACACACAAACCAAGCACACTAGTAAGTATTTATTGTTCGTTTTCATTTGACAAAGGGTAATTGCTTGTGTGACATGTCCTGTCATCTAAATGGCAAAGTATTGGGGAAATACACCTAAAATTTATAACTGAGATAAATCTCAAGATTAAAAGCATGACTGACCATTGCGTTTAATATTTAAAAAAAACATAAGTTGGTTTTCCTATTTTTTTTTAACACAACCTTTGGTATGGAAAAATGCATTGGAAAATTACCACGCATTTTTCCATTTTGAGTTAGTTGCATTAAAGTAGTTTTTTTTTAAATACATAATTACCATAAAATTAATCCGTGTTTAGCGAAATCTTAATATGAGTCAATTACAATTCATAAGTCACGTTAAGGCGTTAGAGACAGGTTGACGATGAAGTAACTTTAGAGAAAGTAAACAATGTAAATAATTAGGTCTATAAATAAGCCCGGAATACTGCGCGATGAATTAAACGGAAAATATCCATTCGTCGCACATCGATATCACTTATTTCATCAGCAGTGGTGGAAACATAGGCAAATGTAAGATGGCGTAAATTTAACTTTTTAATTAAAATTTTATAGTAAGTTGCATAATTTTTAAACAATTAATAAAGCTTCTGTGTAGACTTATTTTTTTAAATACTGCCATCTAGTGGCGAATAGCATAAATCAACGCAGCACGAGAATCTTCAAAACTCATTTTAGTTTCTTTATTTGTTACAACATGGCGCTGTCTTGTTAATTTATATAAATACACGATCTTGCTCTTAATCCTTTACAGTGGGTAGGCAGAGATTATGATTTTCCTATCGTCTTTCCGTCTCTTTAATATTGGTGCGCCTAAGTAGATTCATATTGTGGTATTTTTGCATATCACAAACTTACTATACATCAACACTGAGGGGCTCGGATCCTACCCTAAGTTAGGGGTAACAAGGCAATAGTTAACCACGCTGGCACCCCTTTCATCATTGACGGGATGGCGGGGGGGGGGGAGCACCCGCCGCCATGCGCCAAGTCGGGAGAAATGGGGGAGCTGTAATAAATTACTGTCTGGAATAGCTCATAGGCTACTTACTAAGTTTTTTTTTAATTCCACACAGACGAAGTAATGAGCATAAACTCGTTAAAGTACATTTTACGCAGTTTTATAACTACTTTTGCAGCGATTTTGACATTGGGCTCTGTAGTCAGAACAAGGTTCGTGTCTTACAAAAGTGATTTTAAAGGAAACAGAAACTGCATTTATTAATTATAAATTTTTATAGCAGCTATATTAAATTAACCCAGTTTTTTAATTCGTATTTAACAAGAAAGATGTTATAAGAATATGTAAATGTAAATTGTAATCAAAAAAGTGAAAAATATCTTTGAAAGATCTTTTCATTTTCTTTTTGTTTTGATTACGTAAAAATATAAGAATTAATAAGGCTTTGTCGTCATTAAATATGTTATACATTTATATATTATTTACTATAAAAGGAATCCTGTAAACAAACTTTAACTAAGCTCTAAGGTAAAGTAATTATTAAGCTATGGCTAAGTTACGTAAATTTTATTATATTACAACTTTTTTTAATATAACACTGTAACCGTGGATTTCTGACATCAAAATCGCTGTATAAAACATATCGCCATCCCTGTCTTTATCTTTGGTAACACAGAGAAAACAATATGTTTCAAACGGAGATTTTGGAGTCAGAAACTCAAGGTTAGTTAACCTAATACCACCTATCTGCCTCACCTTGGCTTACTCGCGATATTGTTTATAATAATTAAATAATTGTTAATTAAAACAGAAAAAAAGTTCAGGTAAAAATACTTGTGTACTACTCTGTATTCGTGGAAAACATTAACGCATCAATATTGTGTGCGTCTTGCAACAGAGTTAATTAAAATGATTTTAAATATCACTTAAAATGTAACTAATGAGCTTTGAAATAACATAGTTACATCTTACAAATATTATAAATGCGAATGTCTGGATGTATGGATGAATGGATGGATGTGCTTGAAGGTATCTTCAGATGGACTGCACGGATATTGCTAAAAAGCATAGATGTAGAACATAGTCTGGAAAAATACATAGGTTACTAATTAAGTTTGTTTTTAACACCGCGCGGACGAAGTCGCGGGCGATAGCTCGTTTAAATATGAATGCAAAAATATTAATTTGTTCTTGAACAATGTGAGGTTGGTGAGCTTACATTTTAAAGGTAATTTCAAGATTGGTACTGACCAATAATAGTGAGCAAAAGGTTAATTTTAATGTCACCACAGTTCAGTAAATATGTTTTGCTATAACTTATTATTTTTATTTACAAAAAACGACATCTGCAGACTTTTGGTCGGTACTCTTTTTAGTACATATTCTTTATTCTTAATATTTTTTTTTAATTTCTGAAGAGTATTATACGGTGTTCATAATTTTAAACAGCCTGTATTTTAAATATGATATCCTAGTAAATGAGTCAAGGCAAAATTGTTGTAATAATTAAGTGTGCAATAAAAATTCTTTATTATCTACCTTGTATGATGTCTGTAACGTTTAAGTTTTCAGTCGAATATATGTGATAAATATTCAAATGGCTTATTTAATAGCTCGTGTATAGTAAGATTGATGATTTTATTATCTTTAATAAGCTATAAATAATAAATACCAAGATTGGTCTGTTCGTCTTCTATTGTCATTGAATTCTTATTGAGAATTAACTTGATGAAGTTTTTTTTTAACATTAAAATTATATTACTTTGATGAAATCTTGCAATGCATTGCTCAATAGTTAGATTAACTTTAATAAAACCAAAGAGATACTTTAAATTATGCACGGCAATTATTTATGTAGCACAAAAAGTAATAAATATATAACTGCAACCTTTCTATGTTCTTTGATGTACAAGCTTAATTAAAATTTTGTCGAAAATCATGATTTTAACACTATAGATATGATTTTAATTTTACTTCCTATTGAAAAGTAATTGCCTTGATTTGGTGCAGATGTACTCAGTAGCAATTTCAAGAGATATGAATTGTAAACTCGCCTGCGTCAAAATAAATAGTAAAGCTATGTATAATGTTTCTTTTGACGCAGTTTAGTCAAATCTTACATGTCTTACTAATATAAAAGCATTTTAGATTGATGGATGAATGTTTGTTTGAAGGTATATCTCCAAAACAGCTGCATGTATCTGAATAAAATATAGCATAGAGGTACAGCATGGTCTGGAAAAACAAATAGGCAACTAATTATTCTTTATTAATTTCGCTTATAGATGAGAAAGTTTAGATGGATGGATGTATATATATTAGTTTGAAGGTATCTCCGCAACGGCTCAATGGAATTTGGCATAGATGTAGAATAGTAGTCTGGAAGAACGCATAAGCTGCTTAATAAGTTTTTTTTATTATTCAGCGCGGTCAGATTCTGGGATGACAGCTATATTAAATATTATACATTGAGTTCCGTATGCCAGTACAATAGAAAATCTGTTTAATATATCTGTCTCTTTATTTAGAGTAAGATGACATCATGTTTTTGTGTATGTTTCGATTGTGCACAAATATATTTGAAGTGTGGCATAACACTAATTGTAACGTGACTGGTACCGGTCAAGATCGTAATACAATTAGTTCAGTAACATCCTATAATTGTTTAAAGGTTGCTCGTGTTCGACAGCTAACATGTTATTATTTATCAATTAATCTACTTTAGTTGTTGTTAATCAATAGCTAATCTTCTAATATCATAAATGCGAATGTTTGAATGAATGTTTATTTGAAGATAACTCTAGAACAGCTGAACGGATCTCGACGTAATTTGGCATATAGAACATAGTCTGGAAGAACATAGGTTACTAATTAAGTTTTTTACTTTAATTCTGCGTAGACGGAATCGCGGGCGACTGCTAGTAGAGCAATAAATAATCATAGGTCTTGAACACGTGTGTGCAAGTTCCTATTGTTAGGCTGTATTTGTCTTACAGTTTTATTTAAGTTTGAAGTATTCAATTATTTAAGCCCTTCTTTAGTGTATTTGTGTATGGAAAAGATTACATCGATACTTTTAAGGAAGGCAATTTTATTACTTCGTGGCTTATTGTTTGAATAGATAAAAATAGTATTAAGAGAAGAATGGAATGTTGCTGGCAGCATCTCACACGTTGGATGCCACTGCTAAAACACCTAGTTAATTTTTTTTATCTCAGCTTTTTGAAAAACAAGGAGAGATATGACATGTTTTTTTATGAAAATACAGTTATGTCGTTTTGTATGACAAGTAAAGGAAACAATTTTTTGTTTTGAATTATGAAAGTGTGACCGTAAAATTCCACCGCCATGACAATTGTTATTAAACATATTGCTATCTCTGTTTTTTGTAAAGGGCGTGAGAGTGATGTCATGATGTTTTATACCAGTGTTTAGTCACCGAGAACACACAGTCATTGAAGCTTTTGTAATTTGATCCGAGTGATATTTGAAGGGAATCTACCCACTCGGTTATTGTATCATGTTATTTAACACATATCCAGTTCAACTTTTATGAGATTTGATATTTTCGCGTGATACACTGATACAAGGCAAAGGTCAAAACGTAATAACTCAGAGGTCATAGAACTATTTTAACCTTGCTTTGTATAAAAACGTAACACGCAATTCTTATGTCATCCGTAGTAAATCTATAGTTGTATCGATTAAAAAAAAAACCTTAAATTATAACAATTTAAGTTTTTTTTTGTCTTTAATGTGAATTAAAAGTAAGGAATAATGATAAAATATCTAACGTAATTGTTTCAAATTACTATTAAACAAAATTAATTTAATAATAAAATTACAATAATCAAATCAAAAGTGGATTATTTTCGATTGATCTCAGTTATAAATAATGAGTCATACATTGAACCAACACAAATTACATAAAATCAAGTAGTATCTATATCCGACTTGTTATTTATTTATTAAAAATCCATTGAAATTTGAGTAAATAAAGATGAATGGACGCTTACATGTCGCAGGGTTTATGTATCGGTCACGCGTGGTACATATAATTTGCGTACATCGATGATATGGGAACCAGATAGGTTAGTGAAGTCAGTGTGCCAAAGTCGCGAGTCGCACGCGCAGTTCACTCCGCGGCGCAGACACGAACGCGCGCGCACTTTTCGTTCATTTCCTTTGTTAGCGTTTTAAGGGTGAGTTTCATTAATTATTGTCTTATTAAAATATAATTAAATAAACGAATAAAAAAATAATAGTTAATGAATTTACAAGGTACAGATTTTTTATGTCTAACCTGTTTTAGACACAAATTTTATCCTGGAAAAATTTAATTTGATAGTGATAAAAAATAGTGACTATACAAAACAAAGTTACAAATGAGAAAAAAAAACTTAGTCTATAAATAGTAGGTTGATATTAATTCAATTACATATATTATTATTTTCTATTGAAAATCGAACCTATGTTTCGTGAATAAAAGCTTGCTACAATAACCGCAAACTTATAAGGATATGTGTTTGTATTTCAGGCGATAATATATTATAAATTTTTAAAAGAATTTCTTTTTTATGTTAATTATGTGCTTGCTTCTCAGATTTTATCTATATATAATCACAGTGTAATTATATATTTTAATATTTTATTACAGTAATTGGGATTTCATTATTTTTCACAATTATTTTAAATTCGCACAAACTTGTGCAAACATTTACTTTTTCACACACGTATGTTCCGGGATAGAAAATTAAGACCTACGCTATATTCTAGACCGTGAACTTCGTTTCGATAATCCAGATCGTTCCTGTTTTAGAGTTATTTATCTACATATGTTACAATTTAATTCCAAATCCGTTCGTCCGTCTTACCATGTATTCAGAGAGCAAAATTCCCGTTTAAAAAATGTGGATATCTCTGTTTTTTTAAAGAAGAAAGACAAGGATGACGATATATTTTACACGTAGATTTTGGTGTCAGGAACAAACGGTTAGAGTAAGAAAATAACAAACATCTATCCAAACATTCCCATTATTGTTTTAGTAAGACTTCTTCTAAACAAAAGCTGTGTTGACTTATCAGTATATGACCGAATGGTTTTTATATTAAAAAGTTAGAAGATTTTTGTTAATTTACTAATATAAATGGTACCAATTAAGCTCTATGTTTGTGCTAGGATATTGTTTACAACAGTCGAATCGCAGGATTCGTACCTCCAACCACATACTAAGTAATCTATACTTTTAACCATTAGACTGTAGACGTTTTTTGATGTTACAAAGACACTGTAGAATTTATAAAATGGCTACTCCGTGACGGGAACAAATGAATCTTGTGTTGTATAATCAACTAACAAAGCTTCCAAAGAAATTCAGGAAGCGATATTTAAATTTTATTGCATGCCAATTGTGAGAAACTTTTACTGTACTATGTTGATAAATATTAATAAAAAGTTTATGAAAAACTATTCATTGATTATTATGCGTTATATACGAAGGAAGCTATGTTTTATAATCAAGTTTATATACTGTAGTTTAGTTTATAAGCGAGTTATATATTTATACCTAAATGTATATACCTTAATGTAAACTTCAGTCTTTACTTCAACAAGTAATGGTTATATTCAATGTAAGTTATTCTAGAACTTAATTACTACATAATTATGTGCACCTGTTAGGTTATATTCAATTATTAATTGCTTGTTCACTTGTTTACTTAGTTAACGATTAACTGGAGGTACTTACTTTGTTGCCTTAATGTAGCATTTTAAATAGTATGATATTCTTTGGAATTTTCTGACCAATAAAAGGTATATAGCTGAATTTGATAGTGATTGAAATTATAGTTTTTTAAAATAATTTAAAATGTAATTTATTAGGTGTGCAACTAAGTTCTCGCTTTTTTAATAGTTTACCTATATTACATGACCACGCCACAGAGCTTGAGTCTTCCCTAAATGTGTGGAAATTAGGCCTAGGTCAACTACGCTGTTTCAGCAGTTAACTTCAGTTGCATTTTTGAATTTTTTTGCAGATCTGTAGGCTTCGCCTCAATGTTAGCCTTCAATGTTAGAACATCAGATGTGCAATTCGAAAAACACATACACATGTCAGGTATCGAACCCAAGACTTTAAACCTCTAACATTACTAGATCAATGCTTAATTCATTACGCAATCGTCAATGAATTTGAACACTGATTCTCAAACTTTTTTCTCGTAGATAAGTTCAAAATTACACTGGTTTCCAAGAATCGTTTACTACTTCTTCGTCTGTTGAACTCTTAAATTGTTTGTCTGCTGTTCCAGTGGACATTAGGCGGCCTACCAAGGCAACTTTGGCAATTACTAAATCATAGTATTGTACTTCAAAGTGCATAACTTTGATGTGTGTTTTATTGTGAACAGAAATATATGATTTATAGATTTCTCAGTACCTAATATATGTTCTCAATTATGTTAGTACATACAATGTCACGATCTATAGATTATCGTTAATAATTTTATCGGTAAATTGTGGTTCTTGGACGTAATTTAATGTGAATGCGGTTATTGGTTTGCCGTATTATAGACATTTATAAAAATTAATAAAAAAGATGGGGCGCACCTGCAAGCAAAACCTTTCGATCAAAAATTTCAAAATTGGAGCACCAGGGGCGGAGTAACGCGATAACATACATAAAAAATGAACATACAGACGAATTCATAACTTCTTCTTTTCGAAGTCGGCTTAAAACTAGGTGCGTACCAAAGATTTAAGTTTCGTTAGGTGAAGGCTATCGGAAGACTTTTAGATTTCAATGGCGAGGACAGAATAAAATGAGTAATACAAACTAATACTTAACTACTAACTAAAACTAACTCTTTATATGGTCATCTGTGATCATGTGGTCATGTAAAACAACAGAAATAATATTTTGGATAACTTTTTTTCAAAACCATAAAATAAATTTTTAATGTTTATGCTATCGACGTGACTTATTTTGTCCTAAAGTATAAACTGCTTGTAAAACCAATAGTTTGTTAAAAATATAGCCAAGGTTACGATGTTTATAGAGCTTTTTTTTTCGTAAAAGAATTTTTAATATCAGCCTAGTAATTTTATTTTCATCGACGCAACGAGGAAAAAAATTGGTTGAATTGAGTTGTTATTTTGGGACTAAGGCAGTTTAAATACTAAATAAAATAAAACAAGAAATCTTTGTAACAATGTAATATGAATATGCGTAATAAAATTATTCGTTATAACCTTCGTTAGTGCAGTATAATGCAAGTTTACTTTGTATACGAGAACTTGTGAGTCAGGGTTGTATTGATTTTGCTGAAAATAAACTTATGTTTTTTTTTGCCGGTGCACCCGGCCTACGAGCTGCGCCCGCGCAGTTGACCTTGACGCCTCGCTTTACTTCGAACAGTCCGCAAACAATGCGTATACATTAAAACTTACAATTATAAGCTTACAATGTTTTTCAATTTGTACAATACGTTCATACCTATATAACATACATATTTATTTATAGTTTCTTAGTTACTCCAAAGCCAGGTAGACCTTGGCCTTGGGCACACGAGAAGGTCAATGTCGCAGTTCCATGACGTCTCAGGCAACATCTGAGCTTGCAGACAGAACCACGGACATAATTTGATTTGCTTATTTTATATGTGAGTTATGCCCATTTATAATTTTAGAGCGGCCTTCAATAATATCAATCTGCATAGTTTATAGGTATGCTAGCTGTCGCACGCAACTCCGTCCGCGCGGAATTAAAAAAAACATAATTAGTAAGTAGCCTTTGTCTTCTTCCTGACTATGTTCGTATGCTTAATTTCATGAGATCTGTTATCTGATCCATCCATCTAAATTTTCGCATTTATAATATAAGTAAGATTTATGTTAGACGCAAAAAAATTGCTAATATGTTAAAACGCATCGTAAAATATCATAACAGTAATGTATTACATACATTGTGTTAATAGTATTATACACATTACAGTGACTAACAATTGACCAGGCGTTCGTAATATTACGCAAGCGATGTTAATAAGCTAGAAATGTATAGATCGAAAAACTTTGACAAAACAAAACATATGTAGGTAATCGGTGAACGAAGTATTGTAACTATAGTTAACAACATACTCATGCCCTTAAGCCTTAGTGATAGGCAGAGACTACGGTTTCCTATTGGGCATGCCCCTGACATTCCTCACGCCTCATCCACTATCAAATTATGTATAAGCACTTCGGTTATTTTTAATAGTTATTTTACCTAATATAGTTGAAACACATTTATAAACTTAATGATTCTTAAATAGGGCAAACTACCTTTATTATAAAATCTTAAGAGATTAAGCGAGTTTTTGTCTATAAAGTTTTGTCTGCAAATTATAAAGTTTATTCAAAACATTAGTTAGTTTTCTAGTTCTAACGAAGTTAAAGGCCTATCCTAGTTCTAGCGAGATATCTAAAGTTTGTTAGCTTTAAAGACGTTGATAATAATCTGCATGAATCTTGAAATAAACCATCAGTAAGGCAGAAAATAGGGTTAAAGTATTAAACCCAAAATTTTACTTAATATAATAGAATAGTCAAAAGTTATATAACGTTCGTTTCATATTTATTCCAAAGATAATATTTGTAAAGTTATCGAGGAAGTAGAACTAGCGATTGAAGGACAACTCAGCTGTTAATTTTAATGTCAACAATGACGCATCCTTTTAAACAAAATTTTGATGGAAAGATGGATGTCAGCTAGAAGAAAATGAATAGAAGTAAAATATATTCTGGAAGAACACAGGCTACTAATTACATATTTTTTAATTCCACGCAGATGGAGTCTGGGTCTAATGATAAATACAATTTTTGCAGAGATTTTAGACTAGAATTTTAATCTATCAAGAGTCGCACGACGTACTAAAGATTTCTCCTTGGCGAAGTATACAATTTGTCTTCCAGTTAAATTATGGCGCTACTAGCAAATATTTTTTTAACTTAAATTGCTATAGTTGTTTACATCTTTTAATGCCATTTACCATACAATTAAGGAAGCAGGAATTGAAGGCCAAAAGTCCATTTTGAGCGTGTTACATTGTCTGTATAAAATAAAAATAGCAGCAAAGAAGTTAAAACTAAAAGGTGTTAAGGAAACTTGTTATACCTTGTGTCGGATTAAATGCCTCTTGATATTGTAAATATCCGTGTCTGTGATCTCAGTGCACCTAAACTTGTTTAAGATTCGTAAATTCAAATTACCATACTGCGGATATTCCTAAGGTCTACAGTTCTACGCGTAAGATATAAAAATATTTTTCACAGACAAAATCATACAATAATCGTTTAAAGATTCAAAAATAAAATCGTTTAGTTTATTCTCACATAAATTAAATACGAAATATTCAGAGAACTTTTGGCAAATTATGAGGTTTTCCTCTATTATTACAATATATTTGATATGATTTTATATCAGAAAAAAATATATTGTTGTTTTTTTCTGATATAAAATCAGAAAAAAAAACATTTAATTGTGTTTCATATTATATTGGTGGCCAGTATTTTTTAAACAATTTTCATCGCTGCATTTTTAATATCCGAATAAATATTTTTTTATTCGAATTTCGTTTTATAAAGAATTTGTAATCGTTATTTAAAAACGGGCAATAATATTTATTATGATCGCCTATAACATTAATCTTCTATTATTATTTTTAATTATTTTTTTTACAGAATTAGTTTTATAATGATTTTTAAATCGTTATTTCAACATGTGCAATAGTATTTATTCTGATCGCCCATAACATAAATCTTCTTAAAAAAAAAAATAACCAAATCTGTTGAATAAAATATGAACTTTCTAATATTAATTAAATTTTAATCTTATAACCCATTTATATAATGCATTCTCTTGTTGGAGTTGCATTATTTTTTAAATATTTAATCTTAAAATTTAACATAAAATGATTTAATTTAAATTTTAAACATTAAAATACATTTTTTATTCGCAAATGACAATGCAAAGGCCAATGGTTTGTAAGCTAGTATCGTCTTTACACTATATATATATTGTTGTGTAAAGTATTTGGTAATATTTCAGTCAGAAGATTATAGACACGTGATATTTCATTTTATCAATCCAACCCTCTTCGTAATGTTGTGTGATTTTTCTGTACCCATCTACTCCGGGATGACTTTCAACTAACTCTTAGGCCGCGTTTAGGGACCTTTGATATATTCACATCAAATTCAGCTTAGTTTAAAAATAATCTAGTTACTTGCTCTAAATTTTAAAATCAGTTCTGCATCTGAATTTAAATCGAAATAAATTAAAGAATCTTTTCCTAGCTCTTTTTATTGAATAAACTAGTGCTTGACCATAAAACCAGTTGGTTTGTGGCTATGTCATCAAAGGATGGTAAGCGTAAGCTTTATAAATACGTATTCACGTTACTCTTGAAAGCACCTACGTTGTAGTTTCTTCTTTTAATATTAGTTATATTGTTTCTTTTATGTCTTTCATTAATTCGGTAGTCACTTTCTTCTAACTTTTCGTCATTATATTCCATAATTTTTTTTTCAAAAAAAGTAAAGTTATATTTGACTTTTTATATAAGCGTAGTACGAGTATTTTTTGAATAATTAGGTTAATACATATCAGATTTATTTAATTTGACCTAGTTATTATAGAAGTTGATTTACTTGCGAGGTTATCGTGTTACCAAATTTTATTTTTTTATCAAAACTTTGACAACGTATCTCCGTTGTTGTATGTCATTTAAATTTTAATTAGTACTCGAATTAATGTTGGTGCTATTGATTTTTATATGATAATTTATTATCCATTAATTTTAAAGTTTTTGTTTTATCATCGTGATTAATTAAACAAATCCAATCATTTGTAGGTAAGAATATGTAGGAAAAGAAAATGTTGTTTGTATCTACATCCTCTCTTATTAAAGGTAGCCAATGAATCTGCAATCATCCATTGAAAATATATAGTCAGTGGCCAAATACTAATCTTATCGATGCACCTGGCTCTTTCGTTTGCCACCTTATTTTATATAAAAAAAATCTTACATAAAAATTATTGTACTATATGCATTGTTCATTCAAGACACACTCCATTTTGTAGGCTTATATAGTCTACTTGTTAGCATTTAGCTTAATTTATAATACTAGGAGAACGATAAACATAAGCCTATTGGAGTTTGACTGTGACCTTATCAAATTCCTGCCTGTTTATTGCGACTCCGAGCCAAGGCGAACCACCTTTTGAGGACTCGACTGGACATAGGTCGACACAAATATATGTTTCATGTTTTATAAAGTATGATATGGATACAATTATATCATTAATTACATAAAAAGTAGATATTTATTATAGATCTTTTTAATCAGTTACGCTGACGTCACCAGGAAAAATTGGCAAGGGCAGGCCCCCTCCCCTTCCTAGAGATTAAAAAAATGTAAATTATTATACATTAAAAAAAACTATTCCCAATCAAGGCATATTAATGGTAGCTGCCCCCCCCCCCTTTTCGAAGGGAAAAATATAACTCGTTCGAGCCGGATTTGAACCAGCGACCTATGGATAACAGCATCAATTCTTCTACAGTCCACCGCTCTACCAACAGAGCTATCGAAGGTGCGACTAGATCTATTAGAAGGACCTAGTCTAGATCATCGACTGGCGTCACCGTGATTTTTTTTATTCCGTTCCATCATCATTTAAAATTATAATTAATACTGTCCGTCGAGAAACTGTGCTTATAAAGATTTCAGTACATTTTTTAATAGAAAACAATGTGTAATTATTATTTTTAGTACTTCAAAGTTTACCCAGTACAACAATGACATGATACACGAGAAAATCTGAGAATTTTGTTATTGCATACAACATCAACAGTTCATGTAGAGTGTGTTATTAATTCAAAACGAACAAAGACCGAACTATAACGTGTCGTATCGCAACAGAATACTTATATTTAGTAATGCTATTGTGTTTTATAGGATACTAATTACGACACATGATAATGTCAATATTTTTGTTGTATGAATTTCGCGACTACTAAATTACGCTTTGTTTGGATATCTGATGTACTTGTAAAAGACAATTAAATTAATGGCTGAGAACGAACTTGAATGTCATTGATAATAGATTTTTTTTGGTATAAAATAGGATTTTACGCTAGATAACTAACTAGGAATAAAATTACAGTGCCAAAGCTAAAATCTGAATGATTCTTGTCATAGTGAAGTGTAAAACAAAACTGATAACTTTGTGTGTTATTATAGTTTTGTTTAGGCTCGCCCTAATTATTTTGCTAGTTAAATCTGCAAAATTTAACAGGATGCAGGGAGTTACAATCCGCTTCCATAAAACTTTCCCTGTTTTCGTGTTTCGTGACTAAAAACTTAATTGTAGAAATTACCACGTAAAGTTATAAAAGTTGACGATATTGGATTTATACATCAGCAAAAAACTCAACTATAACCAAATCCGTAAAGAGAAAGTCATAAGGTTCCGTTTTCTAGCCTAAGCCCGTCTCCTGCACTTATTTTACCTTAGACTGCTATATAAAACCTCTAATCATTTCAAAAAGGTACTGCCAACATACGAAAGTTTTGTTGATATCGTGACTAGTCTGTATACTGAACCAGCAAGTTACTAACAACCGTTCTAACTGCATTTCACTTGCTTTCCCCCGCCGATATAGCACTGATAACTTCCCTAAGCGAGCCCTTGAAAATAACTAATACACAAGTAGCTATATTACTTACAACTTACGTTATAACTGCGAATGTTTGGATGGATGGATGTTTGTAGGTATCTCTACAACGGAAATATTATTCACCGTACTTTTGACCTTTAATGTAACATATACATTTGTCATATATTATTTGTCTTGTCAATTACGACGAAACATTTAAATGTTTTCATATGGAATCGTAAAATTTTATTATATTAATGCGTTCTTGCTTGACACAAAAAAAAACGAATTTATAAAAAACCTTGTATGTAAGAAATATCTTTAGATATTATTTAAGAAACTTTTTAAAATGTCATTGCATCATTGAAATAGGCCCGTAGGCATTTGATCTTCGATCTGAGTTTCTATTATCTTAAAACAATTTGTATTGTTTCTTAATTTTGCATATGGAGTCAAGAAATTATTACATAAGAAGGAAAATTGCGATGTATTTTTATCAGTCCATATAAAATATTGCGTAAAAATTAGTGAGCAAGTAATTGTGTAATATCATACCTTATCTTGTGTATTTTTAAACCGTTCTTTTTTTTAAATTATAAAGATAATAGAATTCTGACGTTTAAATAAAATTTATTAAGATCGTACTTAAATAAAATTGGGTTGTAAACTTAGATAAATATTAGAGAGAAATTAACCTAATAGTTTTTGACTAGAAATTTAAATTATTTTATGTACTTTAATTATAGTATGTAAAAAAATAATTGGAATTAAATTACCACGATACCTATAAGAATTTTAATCATTTCGGCCTTGAACTTTTTGGCCCTTAGTTGCTTGTTAGCACAGTTAAGCAGAAACTAGTAATTAATTCAAATAACCTTGAAATAATCTTCAGGAGACAGGAGGTCAAGAATGAAGGCTAGGCGTCTAGTTATGTTTATATGCATCTGTCTTCAACCCGTATACACGTGTCCACCGCCGAAGGGCTCGAGCCTATCCTGAGTTTGGAGTGACTAGGTCTTAGTCAACACTAGCCCAGTGCGGGATTCTTGACTTTAAAAACATTCGATTTCTTCACAGATTTGCAGGATGTATCATCATGTTTTCCTTCATCGTATCCTTGAAACCCTAATGCAGTGACAATTGTATTATCATTGTTTTTTAGAAAGAGAAAGGGATAATAATATATATTGATACACTCTCACCCGATTCAAAACATATCCGTATGGTATTCTAAAATGAAAACCATGATACATGCAGAGATTGAACTCGGACCTGTAGATAACAAGACCAGTCAACATTCTTAACCACTGCGCCAATGAGGTTTCCTTATACATAATTAGTGAATTTTGCGATACTTATTTGTATTAAACTTGTGTACAGAAAATGCCAGCGCCGGACTACAGCGTGGAGCTGGAGCTGGGTGAGCCTGCAGAGCAGCTGCTGGAACACGCTCGTCTACACTGTGGCGAGGATGACAGCACGCGATTGCAGGCCATCTACGAACTCAGAGACATCATTTATGGTGATTTTTTTTTATAATAAAAATACTTTAGGCCATCGATATTAACTAATGTAATCGCGGTTATTGCATTTTAAATAACACATTATTCGGGTAAGGAGATTCTTCATCTTTTATCAATTTTTTACAAATGTGTGTGCAATTTAAAAAATATTTCATTTTTTATAACACACACGCAATTTCGCGCAAAAATAGATATATGGGAAAGATGAGATTTGAATATGGAAGATTCTTATAAAGATTAGTTCAATAGGCGTTTCGTTAATTTTTAAAGCAGCTATTTATTCAGCTTCTATAAAATAAAAATCCAAATTGATTAAGCTTATTTAAAAAAACAATCTAATTTGTGAAAAAGAATTTCAATTGAAACAAAAGACACTAAGTTGGGTTAAGTTAATTGATTAGGACAATGACCGTTGTAATTTCCCAGCTTCTTTAATTAGAAACAGGTTATATATAGACTTTACTATACATATATCATAAACTATGTAACGTAGAAGATGTTCTTCTAATTGTTACATCTGTATCCATTTTACATTTTTTTATAGCATTTTTTGCGATATGTTTGAAATATGTATAAATATGTTAATGAGGAAATATACGTAATTTTTCTATACATGAAAAACATGTTATTATGTTTTTAATCTACAAAAGTTTTAAGTTTTTACAATTTTATCATCATAGTAGTCTCTGCTATCTGTACTATTCAATCAACAAACATTAATATCTACAACACGATTAAATCAGATTAGATGAGATTATAAACTAACTAATCTTAATTACGAAACTTTTGAATGTATTTACTTATGTATTTATTCTGACGTTTGTCATTCATTCATTTCATTCATACAATAGTTTGAATGAGCTAAGATTGCTATAGTTCGTGACACACGGCGCATGTTCCGACCATCTAAGCTAAAAAGGATTACGATCGTTGTTTAAAAATCGGTGCCAAGGCATCTTATTATTGTTTCTATATGGCAACTCTATATGTAGATTGTATTGCCTCAATTCAATCAAATCTTCTTCGATCCCACGACGGCCTAACCGTGGGTTTCTCAAACCAAAAACTGTGTATAAAAGATATCGTCATCCCTGTTATCTTTGACAAAACAGTAATAACAATATGTTTTAAACGAAGATTTTGGTCTCAGAGTCAGACGATAAATCTCCCTTTTTTTAAGAGGAAAACTAGAAGCCGATGAACAATACTGCAAGCAACTGATGATCACTGCCTTTGTCTATTAAAATTAGATTAGAAATATTTGGTTTTACAGTCAACTTTATTTTTCAGAAATCATATATTAAGTATTTTCTCGATATATTTTTATTAATAAATCGCGGGTCAAAAATATTCAGTGTATTGATTTCACCTAACATATTCACCAAATTAAAATAAATTTGGCAGCTGGCTACATCAGTCGCTTTAAACAGAATGTAATTAAACAGGTGAGGAACATAACGTCGTGTTAATATCAAGGAGACATAAACCTCCTTGTCGTTAACCTCTGTGGAAGTTTCCTGAACTCTGTACTTTGATAACAACAAACACGTGACGAATTTGATTAATTAATTCTAACTACTACGTAATAATATTTGTAATTAAGCAATATAAGATTACCTGTTCGCTATAAGTATATCGAAATATTTTGTAACTTCGTCACACGACGTAATGTGTAATGCAGAACACTTGTAGCCATATTGTTAGTAAAGTACCAAATAGTAAACTTAAAATATTAGTTTAAGTAAACTTGAAGTATTAGTTATAAATGTTTTCATCTATGGATAGATGGAAGGATTGATGTTTGTCATAAGGTATTTCCAGACGGCTGCATAGATACCATTACACGTTGGACGATGTCGTGTGCTAGTAAAACATAAATGTTTGGAGTTTGGAGGCTCAGAGGAGGTTTGTTTAGCGTCAAATCAATGTTTTTCGAATACTAAAGTAGGAAGAAAGTTTGAACAACCCTTTACTATTCAAAATAGAGCTAGTTCAAAGGGCAATAACCCAATCTATATCGTATGAAACCACTAGAGCTGAAATCCGTGAGGCGGATATTAGAGAAGTAATTATCATCCGAGTTCCATCCGTCCCATGTGCGCGAATTTAAAATAGTGAAAACTCGCACGACAATATTCATAAAATAACACTAAGTTTAGTAATTATGTTACCTCTATACTTTAAAGTTGTCATAATTATACTTTGAATATTCATATTCAATCATAAATTAATGGATAAAATTCCAGTTTCATTATAACTTATTTCAATTTATTTTTCTTCTAAATTAAATACATATAAAGCAAGACTAAAGCTTTGTATTCATAAGTAAAATACTGAGAACACATAAAATAAGTGTATCTTTTTATTATAGTTAGTAGGCGTAAGTCGTATTAAGAAATCGAAAAGTTCATGACACTATTGCCCTTTAAAAGATCGCTTAAATTAGTTAGGTTTTATTGCAAAAAATATTACTCGAGAATGTGAGAAATTCCGTCATGAGGTTGTTTTTATATTTGTAACCAAAATAACTTTAATAAAATTTTAATATACGTGTCAATTTTGTCAGAAAATGTTATATCTAAACAAATGTATTTTTTATTTCAGAACGTGGCGAGTGTGACCCCCATCGTATGGACGACGAGTTTTTAATAAGATTTTTGCGAGCTAGAAATTTCATACCACAAAGAGCTCACAGACTGGTATGCATATACTTTAACTGGAAATTTTACAATTTTGATTTAAATTCTTATAAAACTTCTTCTAATATTCTTTTAATACTTCACCTCTGGCGTCGGTGACTCAGCGGTGAATCACTTGACTTGAAATGTTCAAGGTTCGAATCCCGCCATGTAACAATGTGTTTTCCGATTTCGGATTTACATATGTACATTTATCGGACGTTCCTACGGTAAAGGAAAACACCGTGATGCAACCTGCACATATCTGGGAAGAAATTCAAAGATATGTGTGAAGTCAACCCTTCTTAGGATCGGCTCCGAGTCACTCGGTGGGGACGTATAGTGAGTTGATGATGACTTTACGTCTATTCCTTTTAAAAAGTTGCCAAAACTACCATATTTTAACGTAGCATTTATACTTAATAACTTTTATTGTATCGTTTTTGTTTACTTATAAGAAAAAATCCTTTAAAAATTACGGTTAACTTTGTGATATAAATTGCGCATTGTTTACGATTTCATTGGAACCTTATAATCTCAAAGGTCATTGTTTGTTTTTCTTTTAATAACGAAATATTGAAGAAAAGTTATAAGGGTTTGTAATTTAATTAAATTTTACATTTTTATTAAAATAAAATAATAAAGCTAGCAGTCGAGACAGTCAGACAGGGGTAATAGTATTCTTCTTCTTCTTCTCTATTTCTTACCGTTTGTATATTTCAATTATGCAAATACATATTATGGTCTCTTTCATTCTCTCTTAGAAAACTGAGATAACTAATAATATGTTTACAAATGAATGAAACTCGGGATCGTCCTTTAATATAATATAATCTATATTTTGTACAGATGGTGAATTATTACCGTTTCAAGCAGGAAAATTCAGAGTTATTTGAAGATGTGTATCCATTGAAACTTCGCCACGTAGGGGACTCGAACGTCATCGCCGTACCTCCATACCACGACCAGAATGGACGAAGATTACTTATCTACAGAATTGGTAAACAACCATAAGATTTTTTTTTATATCATAAGTTGGTAAACGTGCGAGCGGCCACCTGAAATCGCTGAAATAACGAAGTGGCCGTTGCCCATAGACATACGCAATTGCATATGCGTTGCCTACCTTTAATCGACGGAGGAGAGGATGCACAGAAAGAAAATATTTTCCCTTTCCGTGCATCCTCTCATCCGGAAAGTCCACTTCCACTTCCCATCCTTTCCTTATAATAAAAAGGGTGGGAAGGGAAAGGGGACTAAATTAGGCCTCCGGGACGCACACTCATCAGACGAAACGCGGAATAGCTTCCACTTCACGCCTGTCTTCTGTGAGGTCGTGGTATTTCGAGCCGGGGCAATTCGTGCGAAGATGTTAAAGCGGGCTCTACCACTGTTAAAATAATTCATTTATAAATATTATGATCGCTGACAATAAAATATTTACTTTTGTTAACTTCAGTTTTGCGATACAATACTTTGGAGAATCATTTCATAATCAGCCTGTGTTAGTCCACTGTTAGATATATCCCTAATATCTATTATACGCGGTTCTCACATGATATTACCAAAAAATGCCTTTAAAAACTTTAATTTAAAACCAAAAGTCTGCTAATAGAAAATGGTCAAAGTAAAAATGTATTCAATGTCAGTTATCTTCCGATCACTTCATTTTCTGTAGTTACAGTTTCAACTTAGCTGTATTTGCAAATATGTAAATTCAATAATACTACATAGGCTGCTGGGATCCTAAAGCTGTTCCAATAGACGACTTATTTAGAGCCACTATCTTGGCTATGGAGCTAGGAATGCTGGAGCAACGCAACCAAATCCTGGGTGGTCTGGCGATCTTCGACTTAGCAGATATCGGCACGCAGCAAGCGTGGCAGATCACACCCTCAATAGCTAACAAGATTGTCAGGCTACTAGTGGTGAGTTAAAATAAAGGAGAATTTATCCTTTAAGATCTTATAAATACAGAATTTATTTGATATATTGTATGGCTTATGTGGTTACAGTAATCAACTGATGCGTAAACAGTTTTTTTTTTAGAAATTTAGAAAAAAAAATTATGTACATTTTGCCTAAAATTATTAAAATAACACTTAATCTGAATAAAAATAAGACAGTAAAAGTGTGATCGTGTTATTGTAAGACTAGTTGTCACCCGCGACTATGTCCGCGCGGCATTAAAAAAACTAATTAGTAGCCTATGTGATCTTCCAAACTGTTCCAAAATGTTCTACATCTATGCAAAATTTTGGTGAGATCCATCCAGGCGTTCTCGAGACATCTTAAAACAACCATTCATCCATCCATCCATCCAAACATTCGCATTCATAATATTAGTAAGATTGAATACTATTAAAGCAACCTCGCGGCTTTTTGTACTAAAAATTATAAAGACGTGACTTCTTTTCGCGACAATTGTAAGAAAGTATATATTCTGTACATACGTCATAAGATAGCGTTAGTGACATTTATAATCCTCTGCCCTTTTCATTTCAGACTAACTAGATATACCCCTGTGATTTATTATATGCATAATTCATAAAACTCCCATAAAACAGCTCTGACGTACATCAAAATACGAGCAAGGGATACAAAGTTGCAAATAAACTGCCATCATGTCTTATGAATAATTAAAGAACAGTGCAAGTAAACAAAGGCGACAACAAAAGACAGTTTGTTGACCTTTGTCGAAGCGTATGTCGACCCAAGCGGCTATACTTTAAGTAATATCGGATGAAAAGGTTCCATTCTTACCGAATTTAACAAATCCGTAGGCGGGAATACTTGAAGATATTTCCAGAAAACAAACATGAACAAAATAAAAGTGTTTATGCCCTTAAGTACTTGTACTTTTAAACTTCAATTAGATTAAGTTTAATTACAATATACCTTTATTACTGTTAAGTTTAAGCTGAAAATTGCTTCCTTGTATAATTGCCGTGATTTTTCCCAGTCTTGTTCCCCTGCAACGACGCACGCCATCCACATCATCAACCACTCATGGCTGTTCGACAAGATGTACAACATGTTCAAGCCATTGCTCAACTCGACAATGCGGTCGAAGATTTTTTTCCACGGGTACGACGTGAAATCTCTTCACCAGCACATCCATCCGGATCACTTGCCGGAGAGGTATGGCGGAGTATGGCCAGACTACTCTTACACAATCTGGTTGGATTCATTGAAAAATAACTATGCAGTTGCCAAAGAAATGATCTCGTGCGGCTATAAGTTCCACGAAGAGGAACTATCCCCTGAAGTTGTTAAGAGATTAAAGGAAGATGATGTTAGGCTATCGTGAAAGTTGCCTAAATCTGTTAGTTATAAAAAAATCTTCAACTGTTATTAAGGAAGACAATGGCTTAGGATATTTTTTATAATCGGTTAATTTAAAAGAAAAGAGTTAAGATTAAGATAAGATTAAAGTAATGGCATTATTAGTTATAATATATTAACAACATTTTTAAATATCTGATTATTTTTGTCGCAGAGACTTCATCGATGTGAATATTTTAAGTTTAAAATATGTTAAATTACTTTTAAATATTTCGTTAATTTTCTTTCTTATTATTTTATAAGTTTTTATTGTATTAAAAATACTTATCTAAACTTAGTTTAATATTGAAAATCGTCAAAACTCTGTGATAAAAAGTTACTACAGTCTACTGCCTATAACTATTTTTAAAATAGGGGTATGTTTTGTTAACAACACTGTAGTTAAGTTCTTACTTTGCTATTTTAAATGGTAGCTTTTAATGAAATATTGTTAAGTTTTAGCTTTTGGTTATCTAAACTTTCAGCCTTTACTTTATACTTTTAATTACATTACATTTTAAAAGTTTCTGTAGGACTAAATAATTTAATTTTTATATTTACATTTACGTAATCTATTTTAAATGTAGTTTTAGTACTGTACTATGTTAATCAATATAATTGAGTGTTTATAATTTTAAGAACACGGGCATACATGGTTATTTTAAAATCGTCACTAGAGTGGACTAATTAATTTTACTGTATATAATTTTCACTGATCTAGTAATGAGTAAATATTGTAATTTAGAATAAAATAATTATAAGATTTTATTCTGTGTTTTTTTTTTCATCGGTAATCATAACTAATGTAGAATAGTGGGAACGCTATCTTCGCATATGACGTGCCGAATCTTTGTTCACATTTACCACGAGTTTGTGCGATCAAACTGAAACTGATTAAATTTATCTGACCTTAATGAATAGCGCATTCCGCCTCTAATTCGTATTGAATACTCGCATATAACATCATATACTAAGTTTGATACTTCGCGACCAAAGCCGCGCCCCTGAGTCAACCTTAACAAGCACATATTTTAGAGCACTCAATGTGGGCGTACATTTTGGGACCTATCAACCTCATATAAGACCTAAATAAATATATTTATGTATTATAACCTCCCACTAAATAATAAATAAATTACCTTATAATCGTTCGTAACGCGTGGTCGTGGTTTGGAAACAAGGGACCCATTCTATACTAATATTATCTCGTATAAATCTTGTGGGAGAGCTGTGTTGGTTTATAGCATTTAGATAATTCTGATTGCTCGAATAAATTAACAGGTGCTAATGTGGTTTAAAAATAGTTAAATTTAAATAGCAAAGAATATTTAAAGCATATCAGTGTTTATTTTATATTAATTTTGAATAGGGGTTAAAACGAAACAATATAAGAAATTCTATTCAAGTTCTTAATCTTCTCTTAAAGCAAAATACCAGTATCCGATGACAAAAAAATATATTTTAAGTACGTACGCGAACCTCTCTACTTTCCTTTCTAGGATGAATCACCCTTGTTGTCAACCATCACAGTTTTGGAAACGTCCTTCATTGAGGTCCGGGAAACTTCTTCCGTTATATTAAATAGTCGCGAAGAATCGATATATTTGTGTAGGCGCTCGCATCGCGGGAACTTAAAACTGGAGTAATTTGTCATTTCGCTGTCTTCGGTTTCAGAATCATCTGTCGCAACAAAACTTCGCCGATACTTACGAAACCTATTAGCTAATCGCGTCAGAAAACTGTCTTTCGTCGATTTTGGCTTAGGAAATGGTAAGACTTTGTTCATATCCAAAGAATACTCCGGTTCCATTGGTAAATCAAAACCGAACTTAAGTTTAGATTGGGTTTTACGAAGCGGGGGTAGATCATTTTCAATGGTGTTCAAATTGCAGCAACTCTGAGTTGTTTTCTGTCCTAGCAAGACATTGCGATTTTTTTCTTGCAGGCGCTCTTTAAGAAAATGCAAACTAGCCGTAAAAAACTGTTCCTCGTCGCCCGGTGACTCCAATGTTAAAATCAGAGGATTCGGTCCCGTCTCTTTACAGTTTTCGTTGACTGTTAAGGATTTGTACCGTTGCATTCCTTAGCCAATAAGTTTGTATTGTAGCTCATTTTCATTTGATATCCAAATATGTTTATTTATCTTTAAATAAATACAAAATAAATTCCTACGTCAATAAGTAGTTGACGGACAATATTTTGAAATGTAACGTCAATTTTGACATTAACTTTAATTGTCTTATTACAACAAAAAGGTTATTACTTAATAAAAAATAATGATAATATGTTTCAAATAAGTGTAGAAGTACGATGAAGAATTATTGGACACTGAATTTTCCTAAGTATTTATGTGAGTGAACTTTAACACAATAGTCTGAACGGTTCTAAAGATTCGATAATACAGATGCTGGCCGCCCACGCGGATAGCCGGCGGCAGCTCACGCCAGATTACAGATTCCATTAGATTCAGACATTGTTTGTATTTCTTCACTTCACTATTCTGAATCACAAGATAAGACAAATCTATCAAAGGGATGTTACTAAATGTCAAAGGATGGTTGATTTTATCTCGAATTTTTAATATTAATTTTTTTAATTGAATTTTCTTTTTTTTTTTTAATTTTTGATTATTTTATTCGTATATTCAAAAGAATAGGTTAGCCTCACTATACTAAACATACCTAAGTGTAAATAATGTAGGTTTGTTAGAGTAAAATCATTCAATTAAAATTACTTTGTAATGGCAATCTTGAACAGTTGTTATAGCTCAATATTTTTTAAACTTTTCTCACAAGTAAGATACGAGAAGTATATAATATTAGATACGTTTATATATATTGTTACTAGTTACTATTATATATTGTTACAAGTGTCTCTCGACAAAAGCCGTATGCAGCAAATTTATCCATACGTTAGAATTCCAAATTCAAAGTCACCTTTTATGTACCACCTACACGGTTTTAAGTTCTAAAACTAAATTTGTTGGGCTTTAAATTCGTTAGTAGTTTGTTTATATCTGATCAGTAACAATAATATTATTAAGCTCGAGTTAATTTCATCTGAAAACAAACAAATAGGTTAATTTCCAGTATGTTAGTTCAGACGTTACCTTAGTCATTCGATCGTAAATCTATTGCGAAGGATGTTCTATAAAATAACTATGCTATACTCGATATACCATAGTAAAAAGTATCAAATTAGTAACCGTGAGATGCCGTTACTAAATCCTATAGTAGATATAACTCTCAATAATATGGTTAAAAATGAACAAGGCGCAAGGAAAAATCAAAGTACTTAAAGAAAAATGTAAAATAAGCGAGAGAGACACATCCGGACTCTACTTAAGGGACATCAACCCGTCAGCGTACTTTATTTTATTTATAATCGTTCTAGATAAATAGGTACTTCATAAGTTACTTTGTTTCGATCCGATTTGACTATATTTAGCTGTAACATCCTTAACAATTCAGTCAACTCACACTTAACCTTCGTCTTAGCATTTAAATTGCTTGTAAAACGGTACACGGAGTTATCTGAGAGTGATCTTGTGCTCGCTAATGACTACGAATTGTAATTAGTGTACGCATCGTTTGGCCGCGACCTCGCGGGCGATGACCTCACGATAATCATTAACTCTACACCGAATTGGTAAGCCCAAAACTTTTCGATCAACGTAACTATTATAACGATCAGAACACAAAGTTATATGGAAAAAGTTAGTAATTAAAATATTTCACTTTGTCCACATATACGTTTACACACATTCACAGCACAAGAAATATAGGAATCATTGTCGATATAAACTATTAAAAGAGCTTGCTACCACAGTCAAAATTTTTAATGGATGGATTTCAGATATTAAATGAACAACAAAGGATGAAATTCGTAACCGTGAAGTAAGAGGAAAAAAACGAATCATCATCATCAGCTCACTATACGCACCCACCCAGGGCTCGGAGTCTACCCTTATTTAGGGGTGACTAGGCCCACTGCGAGTTGGTTGACTTCACACATATCTTTGAATTTCTTCTCAGATATGTGCAGGTTGCATCACGATGTTTTCCTTCATCGTAAGAACGTCGGATAAATGTTTTTTTTTAATGTAAATATTTAAAGCGAAAAAAATTGGTACATGGTGGTATTCGAACTCAGGATCTGCAGATGACAAGACCAGTACTTTAACCCCAAAGCCACCGACGCTCTTGAAAAAAAACAAAAATTAGAAATTAAGTTATTTGTCGTTTTATTCCTTATTAACATTTTCAAAACAATAGAATATGGTATAATAATTTATTATTTTACATTTTTGCATGTTGCACATCCGTGACATGAAAGGAACTCAACTCAAGGAAGTAGTACGACCTTCCGAGGTAGAGCATTCCGGAATTTAGATTTAACCGGCTTTTTCCGCATACTTGAGGGCACTAGTTACACTACATAAGTAAAGCTATGCTGACCTTACGTACGTAAGTGGAAAAAATCTTTGACATTTTACATTAACTTTGTATATAACATTTGAGCTTCCGTTACTAATTCGTTATGTAATCAATAACAAAAGCGCAAGGAGATTTTAAGAAGCTGAAGAGGCGAGAACAGGAAGATGTATGTCAGTAGGAAGACATCGTAAAAAGGATTTGATTTATTCGACCTGATTATTAATCGAGAGATGAAGGAATCATCATCCTGTGCTAATTCTCTTCACACAAATGTTTTAAAGGAAATATGTTTGCACATTTGTGTGTCACCGAGTTTATAATTGAATAGTATTTGGCGCTTCACGTCACTTGTTTACTACACCTATTTACTAAGAAAATACAAAAGAAACATTGCTATATACCGCTAAAAAAGTTGAAACGTTGAAATTAAAACTCTTATCTGTAGAATAATTCTAACTTAACGCTATAACTTAAAGGATAATGTCAGTTTCAAATATTGACTTAACCGTTAGTTTCTGAGATCCAAAGCTTTACAAACAACATATCGTTATCCCTGACATAATTTTTGACAAAACAAAGATAACAGATGTTTTAAACGGGGATTTTATCTCAGAAACCGACGATAAGCACCAATCACTAATAT